TATATATATATATATTAATAGATCTAGAGTGTCATGTCACTGACCTGTTAATATAATCCAATATAATAGAAAAAGTTGCGTACTTAATAATATTTAGGCATACGGGACAAGGAACAGAAATACAATGTTTTGTTTGTTTTGCCTGTAGTCCATCTTACGAATGGCGACGTCAACTGGATGAAACTGTCCAGAAAAAACGCAAGACCTCTCTTCTTTTTGACCACCTGGATGCGTCCACCCTGGCTGAACACCTAACGTATATGGAGTACAAATCATTTTGCAAAATTCTGGTAAGTCTCTTAATTTATAGATGCAGTATTTAGTCGTGTCTTTGTGCTCATAATAGCATGACCTCGAGTCTGAGTTCATATTGCAAATGAAAAATCCGTTCCCCCTCAGTTCCAGGACTACCACAGTTTCGTGATGCACGGCTGCACGGTGGATAATCCCATTCTGGAGCGTTTCATTACTCTGTTTAACAGTGTTTCCCAGTGGATCCAGATCATGGTTCTCAGTAAGCCTACAGCTCAGCAGAGAGCCACTGTCATCAGTGAATTCATCAAAGTGGCCCAGGTTAATCCAACTCACTCGCTCGCTTATATTTTAAGACATGTAATCTGTTTACAGCAGGGTCCAAAAGTCTCAGACCACATTGAAGATCTGGGGATTCAGAATCTAATTTAAAACTGAAAAAAAATTAAAATAAAATTTGGATTTTGAAATGAATATATACATTGTACTCTGTGTGTGTGTGTGTGTGTGTGTGTGTGTTTGTGTGTGTAGAGGCTACTGCAGCTGCAGAACTTCAATACACTGATGGCTGTAGTGGGTGGGCTCAGCAATAGCTCCATTGCTAGACTCAAGGATACGCAGGCACTCATCGGCAGCGAGACACGCAAGGTGAGGACTGCCAGAGAGCTGCTTTGTAAACACTCCTCCAATACTGGCAAGAAAAACAAACAGCTGTAACACTCCAACTCTGGCTATGAGAGATAAGATTCTTAAAGTCCACTTTTCAGTTGATGGATTGAGTGCCATTTTCATACTCTCTGCAAGATTGCTCAGAAATATCAATACTCGAGTCAAGTGCTCTGTTATCAGGCAACCAAACATGAGCAGGAATATCTTGTACCCATGTACCGAAATCCCCTTTCCTCATATTTCGACTGCACCGGGCTTCAGCCTAACCGATGTTCTCCTATGCGTTTAATCAGGTCTTTGATGGATTGGTGGAGCTGGTCACATCCTCTGGAAACTACAGCCGCTATCGTCAGCGCTTCTCAGAATGTTCAGGATTCCGCTTCCCCATCCTTGGGGTGCATTTGAAGGATCTGATTGCCGTCCATGTGGCCCTGCCTGATTGGTTTGACCTGGAGAAGTCTAGGGTCAACCTAACCAAGACCCATCAATTGTATGCCATCCTAGAAGAGCTGGCGCTTATTCAAAGCACTCCGCCCAGTATAGAAGCCAATTCAGACCTGCTGAATCTGCTTATAGTAAGTCTGTTATGGGTGGAATGGGTTTGCTGTAATCAAAATTATAATTTTTTTTATAAAATAATTTTTATTTTAATGCATTTTAAAATGTAATTTATTCCTGTGATGGCAAAACTGTGATACATTTTTTTTTCTCTGGATTCTCTGATGAATAGAAACTATAAAAAATTGCATATATTTGAAATTTGCATACATATTTATTTTATATAATTTATATATTTATTTGTAATTTATTTTTAATTATTTGTAGGATTTTATACAAAAATAAATGCATGTCAATTACATATATCTATAAATAAATCATAGCATTTTTTTAAATGTTCCTTTAAATTATAAACATTTTCAGTAAATTGATAGTTAAGCAGGCGACATTGAGGTTGATATAGCCTGTGATAGATTTCTCAAATCTATGTCAATTATCAATTATTGTTCATAATTTACATTTATTGTGTTCCTGTCCAGGTGTCTTTGGACCAGTACCACTCAGAGGATGAGATATATCAGCTATCTCTACAGAGGGAACCTCGCAACATTAAATTATCAGTGAGTCACCCCACCGACATAACAACTACTCAGATAGCAAATCAGTGGCCACCATGAGGTAGAAACCACCAATTACAACCATACATGACACAATTTGACAGATTAATTTTCCCATGTTGCTTGGATAATCTACTTACGTGGACTTGCAGCTGGGAGACTGAACCACTACTTTATAATTATTTTGTTCAACCAATGGACATCAGTCATTTATCCATATCTTATGGTGCCTTATTTTCACTTGCTAAGTGATTATGCCATTGATTTCTGGCCTCTTAGACTTCCAGCTCAAAGTCACAGTCTCCTCTAATAGAACAGTGGTCATCTTCAGTCAAACCCAAAGCAGATCCAGCCATCATCAACAAACACATTGAAAAACTGGTGGAGGTATGTGACCCATGCTACTTTCAATTCACTTATCATTTTTCTGAATAATTATTTGGTTTTCAAATAAACTAATAGTTGCAAATAGTATACTTTAGGGATAATATGTAAGGGATAAAATGAAGTAACAACAGTTAGATATACAGTTTCCATGTTCCAGACAGACTGTCAGTTTGTGTTTTAGTGGTGGGGATTTTTCTGTGACTCTTTCTGTTGGTTTCATTGTTACGCCAGTAGGTGGCAACAAGTGACTTTCTTTATGAGTTAGTTAATGAATCATTCACTCAATCGATGCTTTCAAATGCACTTATTCATTCAGGAGTTAAACAATTGACTGACCTTATGAGTGAGACATTGAATCATTCGATCAACTGATTTGTTTGAAAAAAAATAATTGAATTAGGAATGAAACAAGTGACTGTCCTTATGAGTGAGTCATTAAATCTTACACTAAACCTATTTATTCATTTTTAAAAAATGAAGCAGTGTTTTTGAACAAATCGATTGAGTCATTGAATCATTCAGTTAACTGATTCGTTTGAAAAAATCTCATTGAATCAGGAATGAAACAAGCAACTGTCCTTATGAGTGAGTCATTAAATCTTACACTAAACCTATTTATTCATTTTTAAAAAATGAAGCAGTGTTTTTGAACAAATCGATTGAGTCATTGAATCATTCAGTCAACTGAGTCGTTTGAAAAAACTCATTGAATCAGGAATGAAACAAGTGACTGTCCTTATGAGTGAGTCATTAAATCTTACACTAAACCTATTTATTCATTTTTAAAAAATGAAGCAGTGTTTTTGAACAAATCGATTGAGTCATTGAATCATTCAGTTAACTGATTCGTTTGAAAAAATCTCATTGAATCAGGAATGAAACAAGCAACTGTCCTTATGAGTGAGTCATTAAATCTTACACTAAACCTATTTATTCATTTTTAAAAAATGAAGCAGTGTTTTTGAACAAATCGATTGAGTCATTGAATCATTCAGTCAACTGAGTCGTTTGAAAAAACTCATTGAATCAGGAATGAAACAAGTGACTGTCCTTATGAGTGAGTCATTAAATCTTACACTAAACCTATTTATTCATTTTTAAAAAATGAAGCAGTGTTTTTGAACAACAGGAATGAAACAAGTGACTGACCTTATAAGTGAGTCATTAAATCTTTCACTCAAAAGTTTTGTTCAAAAATACAGATTCATTCAAAAAAATGAAAAAAGTGACTGACCTAATGAGTGAGACATTGAAACATTCACTCAATCTATTTGTTCAAAAACACTGATTCATTTTAAAAAAAAAATGGAACAAGTGACTGATCTTTCAAACATACTGATTTATTCAGGTATTAAACAATTGACTGACCTTATGAGTGTGACACTGAATCATTCACTCTACTGATTCATTCAAAAAACTAATTGAATCAGGAATGAAACAAGTGACTGACCTTGTGAGTTTGTCATTAAATTTTTCACTCAACCGATTTGTTCAAAAGCATTGACTCATTCAAAAAATGAAACAAGTCACTGACCTAATGATTGAGACATTGAATAATTCACTCAATCGATTTGTTCAAAAACACTTATTCGTTAAAAAAATGAAACAAGTGACTGACCTTTCAAACACACTGGTTCAATTAAGGAGTTAAACAATTGACTGACCTTATGAGTGAGTCATTAAATCTTTCACTCAACCGATTTGTTCAAAAACACTGATTCATTAAAAAAATTAAACAAGTGACTTATCTTTAAAAAAAACTGATTCATTCAGGAGTTAAACAATTGACTGGACTTATGAATGCAACACTGAATCATTCACTCAACTGATTCATTCAAAAAACTCATCGAATCAGGAATGAAACAAGTGACTGACCTTATGTGTGATTCATTGCGTAAATCTGCAGCAGGGTTGTGTTTAAGGGTCTGTCTGTGGGAAAGATGTTATGTTTACAGTTGGTAGTTGGGTGTAGATCGTAACCACTTCCTATTTTCTAATTTCCTGTCAAGGTCCACCCAAGCAGAGAACCTGTTTTCCTTTTTCTTCAGTGTTTTTGTTGAACCAGTATTTTTGAAAAGCGTTTTCAATTTAATCAAATTTAAGGTACACTCAGGCCAAGTTTTTATTACAAAATTAAATTTTTTTTATTACAAAATTACTTTATTACAAAGTTTTTACATGTAAAATAATTAAGTAGTATTTTTGTCCACTCACATGAAACAGTGTAAATAATAAATGTACTACATGTACTCAAAAGTTTGGGACCAGTAAGATTTTTTTTTTAATATATAATATATGTATATATATGGGCCATTCTACAGAATTGGTGCAAACTGCTGTCCCACAACCAAAAAACACATTTAAGAAGCATTTAAGTATTCAAATCTTAGATGTTTATTAAGATCCTTCTATTATGTGTTGAAACCCACAATAATATTTAAAATATTAGTAAGTTTAATATATATAAAATCATCATTTATTGGTTACTTTCAATTGGGAGGTGGCTGTCCCGAACCCTAAACCCTAAATTTGAACTAATGGAAATGATATTGAAATCATTTTAGTATTTTTTTCCATTGTTGTGTTTAAAAGTATCTTTTTGATTCTTTTAAAAAGTGAAGTTAAAAATTTGTAAACAAAGTTTTATTTGTAAATTATTAAACTTTATGTAAAAATGTGTTCCCAGTTTATATTAAGTGAACTGTTGTAAACAGAAGCAGCTCTGAGCGGATGACGTATGAGGTCGGCTTTGCGCATGCGCCGCTCAGAAGTGACGAACGCGGAAGCGCAGGGGAGAGAGCAAAACAAAACAATTAGGCCACGAATTAGAAGTACAAAACGAGGATTTGTAAAGAAGATTGAGGGTGTGTAATTTATGGACTAATTTTCATTTTTGGGTGAACTAACCCTTTAACTCTTGTCTTTTTCCTGTGTTTATGTGGCCCGGTGACCCTCCTCTGTGTTTTTTCAGTGTGTGGGGTGAGCTGTCATAAAGACTGTTGCAGTCGTTTGGCCATCGAGTGCCGTAAGCGTGCACAGAGTGTCAGTTGTCACAGTGAGGCTTCCTTTAAAGCCACACGCTCTTTCAGCTTTCCACCTCCCTCCAGCACAGAGCCGATAGCAGAGTCCCCAGGTAAATGCACATTTATACACAAGCATACTTGAACATAAGACGCACTATATAATCCAACACCTACAGATGTGGGGTCCAAAACAGAATTATGGAATTCAAAATCTAATTTCAATTGAAAAAATACATTTACATAAATATTGAATCACGATAGATAGATAGATAGATAGATAGATAGATAGATAGATAGATAGATAGATAGATAGATAGATAGATAGATAGATAGATAGATAGATAGATAGATAGATGGATAGATGGAAAGTTAGATGGAAAGATAAATAGATATACAGATAGATAGTAAATAAATAGTTTTGATTATTCTAATTTATTTTATTTTTATTTTATTTATACAATATTTTGAATATTTATTTTTATTTGTAGAATATTAGCTACAAATTTAATAAATAATAAGTTACAAATATAAAAAATAAAATCATTAAAAATGTATAAAATTGATAAAGTTATTCACTTATTCAATTAATTATTCAATTAACAATTATTCACTATATAATAATAATAATAATAATACTAAAACTAGTTTTTCTGATTACCATGAATTATAGTTAACACAATTATTTTAATCTATTTTAATAGTAAGTAGAAAATCTATGTTCTTTGTGAATAAAAGGCACTTTTCAATTACAAAAAGGTAAATTAATATTACAAATTAATTAATTTTATAAAATAATTTTTAATATATATATATTTTTTTCTTACAAATTTTATTTTGTTTTTTTATTTGTATTGAATTATTCTTATTTAATTAAAAATAATTAGAATTTATATTGTCATCATGATTAAATTGAGTGTATGTATACTATTTATCTTTTAAAGAGTAAACTATGATAATAACTCGCAGTGACTTGAGTGACTCTTTCCCAGCCTTTTATTCTCTCTCTCTGTACCTCCACAGTCATCACAGGCGGCTCTCTGGAGGAACAGGATGAGGTTTTTGATGTCCACCTTTGATGGGGTTTGAAAAGATGTATATTGCCATCACATTCTCCTCGTGGTTGAGAGCTTTTTCATTAAGTCCTTCTCATGAACAGAAATCCATCACCTGGCATTAGATACGTTCCTCTCCTCTCTATTTCCACAGGAGCAAATACATCCTGGAGCAAATCCATAAGCAAGCGCAGCAGCAGGGACAGAGCTGCACTGCGTGTGTTTGTTGTCCAAGGTGATCCATTCACTTGAACTCTCCTATACTGTGATCTCTCATGGGTTTTTAGTCTGAAAATAGTACATGGATTTCAAACAAATATGAAAAAAGCACCAGTTAAGTTGCAACAAATATTTGAAGAGGTCGTATACATTTTTACTATTTTAGTTCTTCCTTAAAGTACACTTATGATGTAGGTAAATTTAGCTTTTCATAACCATTTTTCATCCTCTTAGTAGAAGTAGAATTAAATGTTGTTTAGGATGAAATGGGTCTAGAAACAACCCATTACAATGTACAGTATATTCTGTCACCTATGCATATATATATATATATATATCATTTTTTAGTTTAGAGTTCAGAGTTCAGATGCTGTCTAAGTGCCGTCTGAAATTTTCATCTAAAATGAGCATTTTTATCAAGATCCTATGTTTAGGTTCAGTATTTTTACTCTAATGAACATAAATATAAGAGCCTGATAAAAATGCTCATTTTAGAAGAAAATTTCAGACGGCAGTTAGAGGCTTTTGCATCTGAACTTTGCATATATATATAAAGAAAACCATCATCAAATCATATGACCATCATCATGTTTGACAATGTGCAACGGTGCGAATTTACAATCGTATTTTAATTGTAATTCCTGTAACTGCATGATTTCATTGATCTTTTAAATTCTCATGATATGAATTATGAATAGAATAGAAGAGAAGGTCAAATGAATGACATGTTACAGACACTCTTGTGCCACGGCCGTCTCCCATCACAGGCTTCAGTTTCACACCAACAGAAGGCGCTGTTGTCCTAAATTGAGAGAACGATTTGACAAGTTCTTGTACTGCCTCATTTGCTTTCTTTTTTATGTTTATGTTGTTATGCAGATGAATCATTTGTTTTCTTTGATGTACATTTACATGTTTTTTTGCCGCCGAGATGGATGCATGTATAATAAATAGAACATTTAATCAAAAAGGATATATTCTGCTGCCTCCTTGTCATTATTTTTGGAGGCTGATATAATATTATTACTGTATGTGAGAAACTGAGGGACATTGCTGAGGAAATTGCCTCATTGACATATTCACTGTCCAGACAAAAAGCTGTATGCTGAACACTGGGGCATAAAGAAAAGATTAAAAGTTTAAAGGTTTCATTTTCACTGCATTATTTACTGCAAACACTGCTGTGTGAATCACGAGCTGAAATTGGCCTGGATCAGAGGGTTAATCTAGCAGGGTGGACCTTTTGCTGTAAAGCTGCAATTACGTTCACAGTTAAGTTGTGCTTGCCACTATATCAACATGGGCTTTTAAAGTTATTTTTTTAACACTTGGGTGAACCATGTCACTGGAGAGCAGGAATTGCTATTGTTCGTGAACCGTAGCCGGCGGTGTGGGCGGGGCTTACAGCACAGCCATTTAAGATCCATTATGTGCTCAAGACTTCCATTAGCGTCTTTTACGAGCAGTGCAGTGGCATGTCAAGAACTTTGCAAGTGATCGTTCTTATTTTCCTGTACTTTTACTCAAGTACTTGATTTGTGTACTTCGTCCACCACTGCTAAAACAGCATACAGTAGGTTAAACAAATTCACTGAAAAAAAAATGTGATGTTAAAATGTGACCCTAAAGTTTGTGGTGCCTGGCTGTAGCCTATAATTCATAAACATAAGTGGTAATATGAATCAACCAACAAAATTAACTTAACCTTAAAATATACTGACAATAACCATAAGCATGTCAAAATAAAATAAAATAATTCAATACATTTTCACCAAACAATTTGAAATGTCACATTAAACATGTATGTAACTAAATTTGAATAAAATTAACAAAATTTGTGCAAGGAACATCTTTTTACTGTTTTTTAATTAAAAAATACAAATAAAATACATAATACTTGTTATAATATAACATTTACATTGTTCTATGTTTTATTTTAAAGTAAATTAAAATGTTATGACAATTTTATCTGTAATCTGTATTTAAAAATATGATTACACGTTTTTACAATTATATATATACATAGTATATGTGTGTGCATTTACAGTAGTTATTATATTTGTAGAATATTTTGAATATTTTATTTGTAGAAGATTAGCTATAAGTAAAAAAAAAAAAAAAAAAAAAGTTTTATTTTCAATGTTTTTTTTTTTTT